CCTATCCCCTGTGTGCCTTGGGCTACCCGACCCTCAGACCCTGTCCGTTACATTGTCTTCTTTTGGGTGTTCCAGAAGATTTCAGCAGTACTAGTAGTACTTCTAATTGGTTAGTCTGGGTCAACTGTATGGAATTTCTTAGCCCAAGCCCTGGAAAGAGGAATGATAGACAATTTACTATGCTCTGGTTACTCAAGAAAGCTGAATGAGTGTAATTGCTAAGCAATATTGCATGAAGCACAGAAATACCAGGATTGGACTCAGCAAGAATTATGTAACAAGTGTACTGCTTATGTTTCACTCCATATGATTGATAGAGTAAGGCAGGAGGCAGAGGTACATAAGTGAGTAGTAACAAGGAGAACTAAATTGGGCCTGGAACATGCTTGAAAGTAATTGGAATAGGTGATACTAGCTCAGTAAGATTGGATAGCTAAGGACTACAAAGATATGATCTAGAGTAATAAGTGCTTAGTAGAACAAGGGTAGGATCTATGGCAGCAGTAGGTCTTCAGATACTGAGATGAACAGTAGCATCCAGAATGTGTGCAACAGGTAGAAAAGGGCAATGAGATTAGTCTGATAGTATAGAACTGTTTCTGGAGTTGTAATTAAGGTATTTTTATTCTACTCATTATGCTATCAGTCACTCTGTAGGTCTATTTATAACTTCTAAAATCCTGTTTAATACCTGTTTTAGAGTGAGTTTGTGATACCATTGGCAATCCAATATTTTAGAAAGATAATTGTCTAATCCATACTGCTAGTACTATTATTCAGTAATGGTACAATACTAACAATATCCAACTAGAGGATAACCTTTCCTGTTTATCAGACCTTAACCCTATTCAGCATGTATGGCTTGAACTTAAATACTATCTATATAGCTAGTATCTCAATATGGAAAGTACCCAGGATAGTCCACAGAAGATTAGGTTGTAGCTAGTTAAGGTTCTTTAGAAGGTATGAAAGACTATTCTACCAGTATTTTTTTAAGAGTTGTGGAGATCTATGCCTGATCAGGTGCAGGCTGTAATTGACATAAAGAAGTAGTATATATGTTATTAGAACTTCTAGAATTTATGTCCTGTATCTGTTTTGTTTTCTTACTATGACCCTGGACTGTTGTATTTAAGTAATCACCATATATTATCTCTAAATAGACCTATTGTGCAATAAGTGAAGTCACCTGATCACCAAGACTTTTAGGTAGTAGTTTTACTCGAGGGTGATCATAAGTTGAGTATGCTTCCAAAATGGGTAGGGGTTTTATATAGAAGTTAAAACAATTAAGGAAAAACAAGTACTATTTAATAATTAAAATAGGTAGAAAATAAAAGTCATATATACTTTTTCAAACATCTATTCTATTAACAAACTCATATGCTATTACTCCTCCCTGTATATCTATTACTGTCTAGAGGCAGTGTGGTATACTATAAATTAAACTCTTTAATTTATTTATAGGAATTCCTTACCAGACCTGATTTAAAGCTACTTCTAATATAGGGATATCTCTAATCCTCTACTACTAGGTTTTACCCAATTCTGTTTCCATATTTAGCTAAAGTACCTCAATAAGATTTAAGTCTAGAAACTAAGCAGGCTACTGTATTTGTTCTATTTTATTAAGCTGCTAGTATTTATTAGTAGCTCCTTTGTGGTCCAGTACCCTATTTTCTACAACAGCAACCCAACCATATTTTTCATAACACTAGTAGTATTAAAAGAGTACCAGGCAAGGTTCTATAACCTTTTAGATGTAGAGAACAGAAACTATCTTTACCTTACCTAGAACAAATATCAAAACTAATTTGATGGTACTATAAAAGATACTTCAAATCATTTTACTTTGCCCTCTTGACTTAAAGATATTATCTACACAATTTTTATGATACTCTTCTAAGGTCTTATATGTTATCTAAGACATGTTACCAAACCCGGTAGTAGAGAAAGTGGACTCCTCTGTTCATAATACTCTGAGCCAGTTCTTGTAGGTCCAGTACAATCATGCTTGACTCAGATACCAAGAAACTCAAATTAGTTTATTGTAAGATTGGATAGTAAACTTGTAATGGGAAACACACTAGTGATATCTTATAGAATGCATGACTTTCTTGACAGTCCCTAAGCTGCAGATATACCCTATCTCAATACATATAATATCTTAACTCAACTACTATGTTCTTGTATTGTATGTAATAAAAGTCGCTAGTTGCTGTTTTTTTATATCATCAAATATGGAAGAACAATCTGTTGAGTGCTAATTGGATGACATACTAATTTTCTTTGTCTATTTATAGATCTTTACCTTTTTATTAGTTACTTTTTTTCTTATAGTTTTTACTTCTTTACGCGCCCTTTAACATGTTCATCTATCAATGTTTAAATAGTTTTATATCTTTATCCAGCTCTATTCTGCTTTATCCTGTAAGGTTATTACCTTTACTTATTCATTATGAGTTGTTTCATAATACTTAGTACCTTCCAGATACTGTCCATAGGTACTTTTTTACTTTATTGTTATAGTATTGATAATAGAAGTATTGTGTTTAAGATATATTCAAGTCAGTATATTATATGATTGTTGTTATTCCTGTAGGTGGGTACTAATTGAGTAAATAGGGGCAGATGCTAATAGGAGAAGAGGAGGGGGGGTGGCTACTTGTACTACTATATACAAAATACTCTGACACTTAAGTACTATATCCAAGTTCTATATATATACATTATCCTCAGGCTCCCCTATTGAATTCCTTGTTGAAATATTTTTTAGTGCCAGTAGTTCATACAATATATGTGACTTCTGTTTATTAAAGCTTCTGAGATACTTCTGCTTCTGTATAAGCCTAAGTAAGACTTCTTTTAATAAACCAGTTCAGGTTATATCAGAAAGTCAGAGTGTGTCACGAACTGTGACTAAGCAAGGTAGATTTCACATAGCTCGGAATTCCGAGCTATAGGTATGTTAGGATCGCACATGACTCACATTTACGAGTCATGGGTTTCACTCAGGTAACGCGAGTTGCGCACCTGACTGGGTTATTATAGTTTGATTGGTTTTAGGTATATTGCACAGCGACTCATAGGAGTCGACTGATGGATTTCGTATGACTCATAGTTATGAGTTACAAGGTTCACGTGACGCATAAGTATGAGTCACGCCAGGTGAAGAGCTACTATATAAAGGGTCACTAGGACCCCTAGTATTAGCTCTTCACACATTTTTCTTGTTTATTTCCTACCTTTAAGTTATTATCAATAAAACCTACCTTTACGCTCTTTAAGATTTATCTTAAGAAACCTAAGAATTGTCTTTCCTCTCATAAAAGGAGATTAAGTCCTACGTGAGGACTAAGAAGAAGAATAAGGAGATAGGCGCGAACGCGATAGTAGTCAAAGGACTGGACTATCGGGATCGCGTAGGCACAGGCCTGAGAACTATCACCTTTCAGAGAAGTATCATTACCTGTCGCTAGGTCCTACTCGGTAGGATTCTTAACAGAGTGGTAGGATAGGTACTTTATAAATAGCTAGCCTGCTACTTTAAAGATCATACAGTATAAGATACTAATATAGTAAGAGGTTAGTAAGGTAGAGAAGTTACTTGTTTGTCAAAGGTGTAGGAGTTGAGTTTATAAAGGTGTAGTAAGACAATATTAGAGTTGTAGAGAAGAAGGCTAGTCTTGTAGAAAGTCAATAGAACCATTAGTTTTTTTAAAGGCATGTTGTTAAATAGATATAATTACAGATAAGAATTCAATCTTATTAAAATTAGAGTAGCTAGTTTATGTAGCATGATAAATAGCTTCTGTGTAAAAGTGATTAAGTAGTTGAAATACTACAATATTGAGAGACTAGAGCAAATAAGTTATAGGTTGTAGGAAATAGAATGGGATGATTTTGGTATAGATACAGGACTGGGAGCAGTAGTGTTTTCAAATCTGATGTTGTCCTGAACCTGGTATTAAATGATTAAACATGTTGTAAATATGCTGCAAGATTTGCAATTGCTTGCAGTTACACAATTAGCACGAACCTTGCCACAGTTAAAGTGTTCTGATAGATTTCTGTAGCTATTATATAATATACAATCTTGAAAATAATTTTTTTTTTAAATTTCTACCATATTCTTGAATCCCTTTTATTTCATAATGTTTTCAATGGTTCTTTATTTTCTTAAATTCCGTCCTATCTTACCCTCATCCTAGTCCTAAAGAATATTTTACTCTTGTGAAATTAGTGACTATGATTTTTAGGGTCTTTGCCCTTACCCTCTTTAAAGTTTTTCCGTTCCAACTGGTCCGGCTGTTTTGAGAACCGCCTTGTAATACACCGGTAGATTCTAATGGATCGTATCATACTCCAGCACTCGGACGCAATGGTAAATTTATATCCGTGGTGTGAAAGGATTGCCGTTATGGCGCCCTGCCAAAATATCTAGGTTGGTAGGATAATGAAATGCCATTACCGTGTCATAAGTGAGATATGCCGGTAGGGAAAACCTTCCTAGCGTGCCGGTCCCGGTATGATAATTCTGACAGAATAAATAAATAAAAAACAGTTTGGAGCAACATATATAAACCCAATGCTAACTTGCTACAGTAGGACACCACTTGTGTACAGTACAGCACACACACAGGCCAAACACTAATTAGCAATTGCCCGATCAGACTCACTGAGGATTACACAGCCGCTATCCTCCAACCCAGCCATACAGAAAACACACTTTCGCTGATACAACCCGGCCTCTCTATCCCTATGCAGGACCTGCTTCTCACCGGGCGAAACGCTACGAGCCCTGGAAACCGTAGTAGGAAGATCACCGATGGGTCCGGCATAGCCCTCGCCGCCTCTAGAAGGATGAACAAAGTACTCGACAGTAACTTGACCATTCCCCCTATCCAACCCCTCACTGTGCCCCCCAGAATCATGCAGCCCACGGCGGTGGCGAGATACTCTGATCACAATATCCTCCTCTACATCATCGTCATCGCCATCGGACATAGGTCCTTCGTACGATGTGATCGAAACCGCACAAGCATCACTGAGCTCACCTATAGAGCCAGAACCCGAGCGTGCACCATTGTATCTCCAGGACTTGACCTCGCACTCAGCCTCGGCACCTACATTTGCTGTTACTATCGTCCCCGGTCACCACTGAATCGGGTTTTATGACTCACCATGCTTAATCCGCACTCGGAATTGAAGAACTAGTGTATCGGCATCTCCATGTCCACTCGCGGTGCTTTCCCTGGCGGCAAGAGTACTCGGCAGGCATGCGAGGGTGTCATGGCTGCTGTAATCCCCATCTTGGCGGGGTTCAAGACTGGATTGTTTCCCCATGTCTATATCCGCACCATTACCTAATAGCCCATCCCCAGCTTCGCGGTCTGAACAGCGGCGTGAAGTACCCCTCCTAGAAGCAGAAGGGTGTTCACAAGTTCGCGCGAACCCATGAGATTCCAGCTCGATTGGAGATTCACCAAGGGATACTTTATTTCCTTCTCCCTCTTCCGCCTGACTCTTCTCACATAGCCGAACGTATTCGCGGGGTCCCCCCTGTACATCTTCTGAGGAAAGTGATGGCATTTTTGGTCCGTGGGCAGTTTATCGAGTGTGGAAGTGGAAGGAGAAGACGGAGAAATGGAGAGCGCAAGTTACAGGATGAGTGTAGAAGTATAATAAGATGGTGACAGAAAAACCCGCCCGGGGTTGGAAATGAGCCCCGATATAAATACACCCCCGGTTCCTCAAAATAATAGTAATCTGCGTCCATTAAGGTTGCATACTCTGGTGTTTTGAGCACAGCGGTGGACGAACCACCACACTGCGCGTCCAAATCCGCTTTTCGCAATTCAAAAGTGACCAAGAACGGGCATCGAGTGAGAGTCCGTGACGCGCTATTCTATGGCCCAGAATTATAATGTCATTGCAACTTGGTTGTTAGGATAGGAAAGGGAGGGGGGGGGGGGATGTTGGCTAATTTAAACCATCCTATGGTGTCGAAACCAACCGCCCGCAGAGTTATCATATCGTACATACAATGCTCTGCCCGCCAGGCCCTACAGTACCGCTAACTTACCGGGGTCAGATATAATACAAGTACAATACGACAACCTCCCTCCCGCGAAAAGCATGATATATACTAGTGAAATGGCCTCCTCCTCCTCACGCCGGGCCTCGCCACGTTTTCTTTCTTTCTTTCTTGCAATCGGAAACTATGATGTATACCCCCTAACACGTTCGCCCAGAACTTCGCCCGAAACAAAAAAAACCCCACCCACTCACTCACCCAGAGAGCTCCGTATTTTTGTTTTTTCCTTTTTTTCTTCTCCTCCCTCTCTACCCGCGCATTATAAACCGTTGCTCTTCCATCCCCACAATCCCCATTGTGGTTACAGGAATGACAGCATTGGTTGGACCGGTTCGAAACTCTGGGACTGCGTGAAAATCCCCTCCCCCCCACACTCCTGACAGAAATAATAATAATATTAATAATCGAAAATCTGTGGGTGCGGAGGGTATTATAGATAGTGACTGAATGTGGGAGGTGGTTGTGCCACAGTTGAAAAAAAAAAATCAAAAATCTAGTAGTTCGAGTACTGCACTCGTACCGAATTATAGACCGGATTCGACGTTCCGGCGTATGATGAAAACAAATCATTTCACCAACTTCCCCCTGCTGCAGGGACTATTTAGAGTACTCGAGATGTATGATAATGAGTCTCGAGTTGAACACTTGGGGGGGGAGGTTATTTTATTTCGGACCCCGCTCGTTGAACTGTACTTTTGGTATCGTACCCGTAAAACAAGTCCATTGTATTGTACCGAGGTGGAATTAAATTATCTAAGCCCGTATAATAGGGTCCGTTTTTCTCGCAGATGCCTAGCGTATATCCGAACCTCCTCTCCTATGGCGCAAATACTATATCATATTATACTCGAGTACTCTATACTCGAACACGATAATAGCTGGCATCCCCATCCCGACCAGAAGGCTACAACTCACGATCTGCCCAAGAGCCCATTTCGGCCAGGAATATAGCTTAACCCCCGGTTATCGCGATGAGCTAACCCTTCTGCCCGCGTGGTCCACGATACGATACGATACGATACGATACGATACTGTGCACGCACACGCCGAGAAAGAAAGAAAGAAAGAACCACACCGGCAAGAGAATCGGAATGGCCAACAGTTCAGTCATGATACAAAACGGGTCCAGCACAAACACCCCATCCGGGAAGGTCCTATCCAAACCCAATCTCGAGAATCGATGTGCATGTGTGTGCGATAGTTTGGATAGGTCTAACCATCTCACAAGCACACACACGCATATCATAAAAAACACGCGAATGGTCTACGCACCGGTATGACATCAGTAGGTCCAGGTACGAGGTCCCTACATACCACATCCCACTATCAGCAAAAAAAAAAAACCCTTTGGCCCTGCCCGTCTCGTATATTTCCCATAACCGGATGTGACTTATCGGGACCTATCCGATCTGATCCTTTCTTCCTTCCTTCCTTCCGCCCTAGCATACATAGGTTACGTGTGTGCGTGGGGGGTTACGAAAGAGCTTCTCACATTCCGCTATCCCGTGCCACTGAGTGCTGTGCCATGTCATGTAGTCTACGGTATCCTGTATGGGATCTCCGGTGATGTGCAGTATGACACGCGCCGGCAGGGCAGTACCGGTAGGTGGGTAGGTAGGTAAAACGGGATGGTAAGCTGTTGTATTCGAGCTCAGTACAGTACGAGTACGGTACTGCCAGGTTGTAGATGCACAGATAGATTAATGGAGGGAAATGGGGGGGGGGAGGGGAGTACTGACGTTACCGGTCCGGATACACGAAAACGATCAGAGGCTATAACGTCTTTTCGGACACCGGTGGTATTTCTCCTCCGAGAACATAACACCACCACTACAGAAGCCCGGATGCCATACCATTCCATATTC